CATCAAAAAGTCCCACTCACTGATCAAGCTGCTCAGGAGTATGAAGACCTTTTGAGATTCCTCCATCTGAATTCCTTTGCTGCTGCACTCTGCAAAAAGCTTTGCATTTTCTTCAGATGATCCGTTACAGTTTTCTACAGCAAAGCATCTTAGATAAGGCTCTGTTGGGCTGATGAACTCATTCCAAGGCATGCCACACATCAAAAGCTGTCTGCTTTTCCCTGATGTGATTCATCTGGCATGTTTCTAGGGCTAGAATGATTGAGGCCCTCACCCTGTGGTCATCATAAATCTGAAAGTCATCTGTTGGATCAAGTTGTTTAAGCACAATGTCCCATAAGTCCTGTTTTATCAGTAAAGCATAATTTGCATCACTAAGCTTCTCAATTCTAACAGCCGTTTCCATCTCTTTGCTCTGTGTCATCAACAGACAGATGCAGATGGACTTCTGGGCAAATTGCCAATGGCCCGGGCAAGCAGCCAACACCCATAGAAGCTTGATAAGCCTTCTCTGGCACACTAATAATGGCACTGACAGTGAGGAACAGACTTAACTCACTCAGTTTTAGGACTTCTTCACCCTCTGAATATTCAGCAGCAAACTCACTGGCGATTCTGGAACACTCACAACCTCTCAGCCCATAACCCTTGTTGGAGTATGCAGATAGGCAGGATCTAGCATACACACACACACAGTTGATGCACATAGGCAGGAACACACAGAAAATAGTCTTATGTGAAGAGCCTTGCTCCTGATAGCACAGGAAAAATCCTCCCACACGCATGCTTCTGCTTTCAGCTTGGAGAAATGAATCACTGGACAGCAAGACTTCACTCAATGAGGGCTTTAATCTTTGTTGCAAATATTTACAAAGATACATAGAGTACCAACATCTGTCTTGAATACTCACAGCTATACAGACCAACAAAGTGCTTCACTAACCACCAACCACAACTAACCAACAACAGAGATTCTGACCCTCTCCCATATATAGGTGGTCTTCTTGGGAACATGTGACAACCATGCACTAATGAAACCTAGCTAGTTTCATCCTCAGTGCCTGTTGCATCAGGCCTCCCATGATGCATACCTGGCTGGTCTCATCCACTGTACATGTTGCATCTGACTTCCCATGATGCACAGCTTGCCAAATTCTGACTCATGCACCCGCCACTTGAACTGTAGTAGCCCTGTTACCATTGTTCCAGTTCCTTTCAGTGGCCACATCCATGTCATTTTCCAGACTAGGGTGCCACATGATCTTGACAAGAAATACTTTAAATAAATAGTGGGATGAGGGCTTGTATTAGGCAGCAAAATATCTTGGCCTAGCCCTGATGAACAGCCTGTCTGGAGGAGTACCCTGGGTGCATAGGAGCTTTTCTTACTAATTTATTTCTTGTGCCATGATGGGAATTTACCTACAGCACATGAAGAGTTTGCAAATGACTGGAGGTGACTTTAGATAGACAAAAATTGGGATTAGCACATGGCATGATATGTAAGTTTGGAATGCTTACTATTGATATGTTTGGAATGTTTACTTGCTGAAATGTTTAATGTTTACTCGTTGCTAACATACTGTTACTGTTACTATTATGCCATTGAAAAACACAGGATAATGTTCTCTGTCTTTATCCCATTTCTGATCATCATAATATAAGTGGCCTACCCTGCCTGTACACAGCTGCCACATACACGGCGTATGCTTTGGGTGGGCAGAAAGGAGTCATTCACCCTTCTCATCCAGACAATCACTCTAAATGTCATGCCTGAACTTTGCAGAGAAGACTCCCTCTTACTCTTAAAAGCTTCTCTCATACAGCTCAAACCAATCTAGTTGGTCTAAGTGCATGCCCTGTGCTGCTGTTTGAAGCAGCCAGCCTAGCAGGGCAGGCCCAAGTGACTTTTTCTTTCTGACAGTAACAGCTGTATTGTCTTACATTTGGGCAGAACTTGAGTTGCTAGTGCAGTTCATACTTTCAATTTGTCTCCTTCTCTTTCCCTTTCTCTCTTGTCCCCTTCCTCCCTATGTCTGGCTCCTTGATTTGTCACTAGTTTGATTTGTCACTAACACATCCCACAGTCATCCATGCAACTCTTTCTTTGTTCTCTCCCATTGCTGAGACTGAGTCAGAAAACACCCAGTGACAAAGAATAGGCTTATCTTGCACTGAAAAGTAGTAAATTACAGCGCTAGTAATTATAGGGAAAGAAGTTACCATGTTCCAGCTGAGTTTTGCAAAAAATAACAAGTTACTTCCCAGCTCTGGTTTTAGATTCTTCACAATGTTACTAATTATACTTTTTAAAAAATTGCAAGCAGTCAAGTTGACCAGGAGCATAGCATTCAAGTTTGGCCATTCAATTCAAAGTAGACTAATTTCTCGTCCAAGAAGGTATTTCTGGTTTAATGTCTGCAAAGAGCAACTGTTTAAAATAGCATAAGAAAATGAAGAACAACCCCTTGGTATTAATGGATTCCTTTAAAAAAGAATCAGGTATTGGATGTGAGGCCTATCTGTTTCTGATTGCACAGCAGACTGTTGAGATTTAATCAATAGAGTATCTCAAATGAACACTGAGATCTTACACTTAGAAGCAATTACAGACCAAGTCTATCTTCCTCATAAAAAATGCAAGACTAACATTAAACCCTCATTTGGAGTTGAACAAAACACTCAGTTCTATGCAAGCTCTTAAAGGGCCATTCATTTATGCATCTGTTGAGCTAAATTTAATCTACAAATGGAAGGATAGGGGAAAAGTAATGGTGCTCAGCAGAATGAGGGGCTCTATGACATTATTTCCCTAATAATTTGTCTTTTTACCCAAGAGAAAATATGGGTTTCAAAATTGTTCATGGAAATGTTGCCAGACCTACAAAAGTATTTTTAAAGGAATTAGTTGCAGTTACCATTGCTCCCCCACCTCTTCTTGTTAGCTATTGCTTTGAATTTCCACTTTAAAAATAACTCCCTCAAAGCAGCTAATTATTTTTTACATTTGTTTAAAAAAGTAAGTGAATGCTACAAGCCACTTGGCTGTGTCCAAATCACACTACCCTATCTATCACACTGTTAAACCCTGGTCTCCTGAGTTGCAGTCTAACACTCAACCCACTACTCCACAATTAACTTACATGCCAGCAATAAAAGCTTTAGTAAACTAAATCTGAAAAATATCATACATGATTTTACTTCCTTTTGCCCATCCTAGTTTTGAGTTTTGGGGAGAAACAAATAGATGCATGAACTTTTGAAAACCTCATTTCTCATTCACCCCACCAAAAACACTTCTCTCTTTTCTGTTCTCCCTTCTGTATTGTATCACTTGTTACATTATTTTTGAAATTGCAATGCTGTTACAGCCGCCTTATTCAAAACAGTAACTCATTTCAGGTAATTCTGTTACTTTAAATCTCATTTTTAAACCCTAGTTTTTAAAGCTTTAAGGAAATTGTTCCCATCCCAGATAAATGTTAGGAAGGTACTTTAGCAGCATTGGATACAGCCCTATACTTTCAATACTGAATAAAAATAAAAATGTAGGCAATGTTTTATTTTTTACTGAGGTACTAGGACTCAGATCTGTGTGAGAGCCGAGTCATCATACCACTATTAAATTCTAAGTTTATGTTCAATTTTTCAGCTGAATGACAAAGAATCTGTCCAAGCTATGATGTGCCAGAAGACTGTGTGTTGTTTTTATTATATAATTATTATTTTCTTTCAAAAGAGGTGGCATGATGTAATAGGTCATATGAGTCATGCTGGAAATAGAACACAATAGCATATGCCCTAATTGGTAGTTCACCCAAAGATGAACCTCAGAGGGCT